CTAACTGGAGTCAAATGGTTGTGAGAAAAATTTAATTTCAACTATTATGTGATTTTGAAATTATTTCAAAATAAGTATATTTTAAAAGAAATAAAAAGAAATCTGCAAATTTGATCTGGCAATTACCTCTGTAAGAGTTTATCTTATAGGTAAGCACAAAAACATTCATTAAAAGATGTAAGAAAATCACTGCAGTGTAATATGAAAACACATAAAAAAATAAAAATTACCCACATACCTACCAATAAAAGACAAGGTAAGATAGATTATTAAACATGTATAGTACATAATAAAGCACAAGGTAAATTTTTACATTTATGCAAAACCATGTCTAAGATATATTAAATAAAAAACAAGAAGGAGAACAGTATGTAGAATACTGTCTGCTGTGCATTTAAAGGATAATACAAACAGGCACAATTCATATATAAATTTGGAAAAATACCAGAAAAAAAAAACAGTGGTTACCAGTACAGCATGAAAAATTCTGGGGAGGGAAAGTAGGGACAAACAGTAATTTTACTTTTCAATATATATTCTTTCATACGTTCCAACTCTTTAAGCTGTTATTTGTACAAACAGCCTATATACTTTTTTGGGGGGGGACTGGAGATCAAACTCAGGACCTTATGCTTGTGAGGCAGGCGCGGTGGCACTGAGCTACATTCCTGGCCCTCGGTCCATATATTTTTAAAGAAGTAATTAGCATAAGTTGACATAGAAGTTTATTTAAATATAGGTCTGATCCTATATTCATAATGTTTATTCCATCCTGGATTTTAAAAACATTCTTTTTGCATGTAATTACTAATAATGGACATTTAAAAAGTACTCGGCCATTCATTATATTTTTTCTTTACAAGTGTTAGGACATGAGTTTTCCATTTCTTGCTTCATTTTGTAACTAACCTATATGTTTGATATCATTTATATATTCATTATATTACATTTAATAATGTCAAACAGTGAAGCCTGCTTTGGCCTTAGGTAAACTGACTAGCACAGTATCTGAAAAAGTCTGCATTGGTCCTGTACCTTCTGCATTTAAAATTCTAAAGAATCTGCCCATTGGTAATTTAGTCCACCAGTTTATATACAATATTCATTTAAATATTTTTCAAGGGCACTCTTCCCAGGACAATTCTTTCATATGCAGAATTATCTAAGAATAGTCCACATTTAAAATCCTTGGCTTCTATCCACTAAGTGCTGGCAGTTTTTTCATACTCCCACCTGTCGAGGGTCTGTAATAGCCCCAAAACATTTCTCTAGTGTTTTGACCACTATAAAACATCCCACTTTGTTAAGCATAGGTGACAGTGCCTCAGTTATTCCCGAACACTGGTAGCATTAGAGGATCACCAGCCTATAGTCTTCCTCAAAAGACAGATTCCCTTCTCAACAATAGCAGAATCCTACAATTTCTCAAGGTGGGGTGGGATTAAGAGATGGGTAGTACTTTGTTCCTGATTTCTTCAGAGTATATATTAGTTTCACAGGTTATAGAAAACTTACAGAATATTTAGTATAACAGCATACTCTTGGAAATACTATTGCTCCTGCAGGGAAACCCAATTTCATTTTAAATATTCTAAAAAAGCAAAGAAAATAAAGCCTCTTACCTCTGGTACAAGAAGAAAAGAATCTAAAGAACTACTTGTTTTCTTCTCACCTTTAACCCATGTCTACTTGTCAAAGAAAGGAAATAAAATTCTTTCAGTATCTGTGTAACATAAAAAAGCACTCAAAGTTTCAAATAAATCATGAAGTACCTCAGATTTGGACACCACTCTAATAACACAAACTGAAATGTATATGAATGAAAAATAAAATCTCCGGACCAAGCTGCTCTCTGGTTCTAAAATTCTAACCATGTCAGAGCCTCCAAAAACATATCAAAATCACTCATGCCCAGGACTTTGAATGTCTTCCTAATAAAGCTGCTCACTTAATCTAACTAGTCAAGAATTTGGAGAATTAAAAATCTTACACATGATTTTTAAAATTATAACTGTGAGGAATTACCAATATAACAGATTCAGACTAAATAATGAGGGAGAGAGGATAAAAGGAGGATTTGTTCCCTTGTACCTTCAGAGAATCATTCTAGATGTTTTACTTCATACTAAAGAAGAGCTATTCACATAATACAATGGTGTTTCCATGAAGATGTATTATCTTAGCATCCTTTTGAAAGTAAAAATTCCCTTTCTTTAAAGTCACTAAATTGACATCCTACCAAATAGGTTTTCACCTTGGATGAGATATACCAACAATACTCCCAAAAGATGGACAATCCATTACTCAGACCCTTAATACACAATTTCAATAATAACTTGCATGAGGGCTCGACACTGCAAGTTATCCAGAGTGTGATCAGTATCCTTTCTTTAGAACATCCTGAGACTTAAAAAAAAAAACCCTCTGTAAATTTCAAAGACTTCCACAGAATGCAAAGATTCTGGCTTAATAAGAGCACTTTTAATTTGTTTTGTCTGTGAGTTTGTCAATGGTATACTCACCATAATGACAATCATAAGAAAAAGAATGTTTCCAACGGAAAAGAATTTATAAGTAAATCAGAGCATTAACTGAACCAAAAATTCAAATATTCAAAATTGGCCACTGTTTTAAAGCTGTGCTTTGCAAACTCTAACTGTGCATACAAATCTCAGGGATCTTGGTAAATTACAGCCAGACTCATTCAGTAGATCTAGGCTGAGAAACAGGATGCTGTGCTTCTAACAGGCTCCTAAACAAAGCCAAGACTGATCTGTTGTTGAGCAGCAACAGAGACTCTAAACCATGACTAGATCAAGATATGAAAGAAAATGTGTATGTGTCAAAAACAGATAAATAATTCTTTGGTGTTACTTTTCCAAGGTTGTTTTTTCCCCTTTTGGATCTATCAGAGTAGTTTTCACTAGTAAGTACTTAATAGTTTTACCCAGAGTTTTGTATCTAGCAAACTCTCACTATTTCAAATTAAAGAAAACCTATTTAGATGAAAACCAGAGAATATAGAGAAGCCTGAACAAAATAAAGCCATTTCAAATGTTACTTCTCATTCTAAATAGAAAGTGTCCTAAATGAATTGGATTATACACATTCAAATATTCTATAAGGAGAAAAAAAAATATTCTGGGAGATCAATAAACAGTGAGTTACTCAATGCTAATAAACCCAGTCTGCTGTAAGTCCTTTGTGTTAAAATTTTTTTTCTTCACTTTCCCTTTTAACTTTAACGAGATTTTTTTCTCAGTATGTAACTAGTAACTTTTGAACAAATCGCAGCTTACAACATAAAGTTAGAATGAGGACAAAACTACACACACAAAAGCTGACGAAAACTGCTGAATAAAATCAAGTAAATTATCAAGTAGAATTATCTATATAGATTCTTTATTAGTAGTCAGTTCTCAACTACTTATTTTAAATGTGGATTCATTCAGTAAGGTTTTATTGACCAACTATCACATATCAGCCACTTTCTGGAATGTAAATGAACTTTAGATCAGGAATCAAAAAAACCTTTCTGATCTGACAAGCTGTAGGCAGTCTATGTTTTTATTTTTTAAAATCTCTGAGCTTGTTTCCTCAGAGTGGTGATGTTGGACCATATAATGTAAATTAAATGTCTAACAGCATGCCTTATATAATAAATACTATCTGAAATATGTAGTTGGAACATAAGAATAAGATACTGCCCTCAATAAGCCAATTTTCTACCACATAGCTCCATGTTAGAGGACTATAAACTGACTTGAAAGTGAAGTTGAATAAAAAGACTGAACAGATTAAAAAAACCCCAAAAACTAGTATTATGAATTTCATACTCAAAAAATACATGTTTTAAGTGCTGAGTATTATGCCTGCTAATGTTGTCTTTCTCTAAACAACTGAATACACTATCAAAAAAATAGAACAAATCGTCCAGCTATATGATTTTAAACATGATGAAACCCCGGTGGGCTATACAACTTAGGACAATTTTTGTGACGTGCTAATTGACACCAACAGATGTGTATCCCTCTAGCCACAATTCTCTTCCTATTTACCTTTATAAAGACTACCCAATAGTAATCCTACTTTCTTATAAGGTAAATAGCAGGAATCCTCCTGGAAACAACCAGGAAAGTAGTCAATTCTGAAACCCAACTGGCAAAGGCAGTTGCAGAAGCAATGCAGTTAGAGAGCTTTGGTGCCAATCAGTCCAGGTGTGCCAAATGAAGTTTCATCATTTCTAGGCAGTTAGGAGACTGTTTCTTAATTGCTCCAAACTTCAGTTTCTTCCTGAAAAACAGCAACACTAGTATCTATTTCCTATATTTGTGCAAAATGAAATATGTCAATTCAAGCAATCCACTTAAATTTCTGAGAACAGAGCAGCCAATAACTATATGCTATTATCTATAGTAGGAAAACTAAAGTATCTCCTTGTTAATATTAGTAAAAATGTATAAGTTTTAGGGTCTTACAAACCCTTAACTTACGTTCTCCTGAAAACGCTAAAACGGTGATAAACAGGAGGTCAAAACTATTATTATTAGGTACACAACACGTGATCATCCCATCCTACTCAGGCTTCATTTGTAACACCCTAGAAGGAAGCAGCACTGGCATAGCTAGGGACAATTTCATCCTGAAAACGTTTCGAGGCAAAAGAAAGCTACTAAGCCAACGGCAAGTAAGGAAAAAAGGCTATGTAGACAAGCACGAGGTGAGGGGCAACTAGACTCAAGCGTGGAGAAAAGGACCAGATATCCCCGACCCCGGGCTGGGACCCAGTTCACCGTGCTCCTCCCCAGAGTATCCTATCGTGACATCCTGAGCCGAGGCCGAGGCCCAAGGGAAGTTGCGCGTCCGAGCTTCCATTGCCGGCCGCCGGGGTGCAGACTTCCTGGGGGCGCCCACCCCCGGGAGGCCCAAGAGGCCGCACCGATTTCACCTAGAGGCCTGAGTCACCGCCCTCACAGAAGCCGGGAAGTGGCAGCCGTTACCTTCGGCAGGGAACTCCTCGAATTCGTCGTCCTCCTCTAGGAGACCCAAATCTACCGGCTGCTTCTTCTCTGACATTGCTACCCTCCAAGGCCAGTACCTCACAGACCAGCACAGTAGGTAACTTGGAACCCACACTTGTCCTCAGCGGCTTCCGTCACCGCCGATAGCGACACAGGCGCTACCATAGAGACTAGGGGGAAGAGCTACCGAACCAGCGCGAGGAATGCTGGGATGTTGGAGGTCCTCCCGGTGCTCCTGGCGATTTTAGCAGTCCTTTTGACATAGGTGAATTTTTTGTTTCACTACGTTGTTTAGACTCTGAATTGCAAAATAAATAAAACAAAACAAAAAACAACACCTCGTAATGGGTAAAAAAAATTAAACGCCTTTATTTAGTTTACAAATGAGGAAGAAAATATAGAAAGATGAAGTGACTGCCAACATTCATCAGCCTTTGTAATTGCCAGGCTTTAAAGTACATTACGCTGGTCTTTAAACCAGTTCCCTAAGCATAGTATTAAAAATCTCCACATCACAGAAAACTCAAGTCACCAGTCACTCAGGTAGTGCTAGACAATCAAATCCAGATCTGTTTGCCCATCTCCGATCTCCAAACTTTCCCATTATGCAGTGTTCCTTGGCCTTGGAATTACTTTCTGGCAAATGGCTTCATTAAATAGAATTTGAGGATATGTGTAGGAACTCAGGTTTACAGGTTATGGAACAATACTATGTAAAAATGGGTAGGTGTAACATTTTATACTGTTCAAAATAATGTCATTTAGAATTTTTGAATGTCTTAAGTATAATAGTGAACTATCCAAATTATACATGTCCTATACATGGATATGTAACGATATAAATGAATATAAAATATATAGGATATTATAAATTTTGGTACACCTGTTTAAATATTTGAACACTGTTCCTTCATTCAGCAACTACAAGGGATTGTGTATCAACATGTAGATACACACGTAGAACAGGTCCTTTCTCTCCAGGAGCTGGCATACTATCTACTCAGACATATAAATAAATCACAATGAAAAATAGTGATCCATTTGAATCTCCATCTTAAAATTATGTGAGAAATCAATACATTGTGTGGGATTGCAGAGTTGAACAAATAAAGGAAAAATGAGAACTACATTAAGTAATTTTTAAGAAGTATGTCCCTCATAATACAATTCTGACTTGAATTTATTGATGAACATATTGGTATCTCACCAACAAAAAATAAACAAATAAATACATAAATACATAAATAAATGAGCGAATGCATATTTTAATTAGCTTCATTTAGCCATTCCACAATGTATACATAGTTTGGAACATCATGCTGTACTCTGTAAATATACAGCTGGTCCCTGATTTGTGATGGTTCAGCTTACAATTTTTCGAGTTATAATGGTGTGAAAACAATACACAATCAGTAGAAATTGTACTTGGAATTTTGGTCCTTTCCAGGGTTAGCAATATATGGTAAGCTACTCTCATTATATTCAGCATTATATACAGCTCCCAGAGCACCATGCAGTCATGAGGTGAAATATCTTTTACTCTATGGTGTACACGTTGATAAGTTAGGATACTCAGTAGGTCGGGAACATGAAATGCATTTTTATTTATAATATTTTCAGTTTGTGCTGGGTTTCTTGGGATATAACACCATAAAGAGCATCTGTATACCATTTTTCTCAAGTAAACATTTTTTTCTAAAGAAATGAATAAAGTGTGTTTTGTCAAAGAGTCAGAAAATCTACTCTTGCTCTTGGACCTGTTTTTTAGTTCATCTGAAATTTGTATTAATCCTTAGCAAAAGAAAAATATTGACAACAATATTTTTTCCCCTAAAAACTGCATTCAATCTAAAAATATAAACTCAGCCCTTTTTTTTCTAATTGTATTGGTTCATAAAATCCAGAGTGCTTGCACCACTAAAGTAATTTCTCATTTAATGGTTGTGGCACATGTAAAAAGCATGAGAAGCATCATTAGATGTAAAAGTATGAGAATTATTGTTGCTTAGTTAAATTACATAAGAATATGTATTTGCAAACAGTTTAAAAGTCCAAGCTGAATTGCTTCTAAAGAGGGTGCTTTGATAAATTACTTAATTTCTCTGTGGTAAATTTAATTATTTGCAATATCATAGTTAAAATGAAAAGAGATTATGTATATAAAGTGCATAGCCCAATGCCTGCTTGGCAACTAGTGACCAATACATGTTAGCTGTTATTAAACAAGGGATTTATATTTTTAAAATCTCAGACCCTTCCTGTCAATCCTAAAAGTTTCTTAAGTATGGATTGTGGTTCTGTGACAATATTTTGATGGTACTTTATGAGGAAGTCAGCACCCCTACTGTATAGTAATTAATAGTAATAATAATGTTTATTTAATGTTTGCTTGGTGTCAGCTACTGGGCCAAGCCTATTTTGTGTATTTACTCATTTAATCTTGTACATGACAGCTTGATTGAGTACAATTTAAACTCTTTTTTTTTACACTTGAGAGAACTGAAAAGAGCGGTTGATAATGTGGCCAATATCACAGTGCTAAGAAGTGGTGGAGCTATTATAACCTAAAAACATCCCAAAATGTAGTGACGCAGACAGTTGACACAAGAACCTCTAGAATGGAATTATATCTTTTGGGCAGTACTAAATATACATATATAAGGACAATGACAACCCCCCCCCGAAATATCACACATTAACAGAAGTGCAGAAAGGAAACCGATAGAATGAATAAGAAATTCACACTCTAACATTGGCTTAGCTGTCTATGGCTAGGAACTTCTCTGCAAAATATGAGGAGTTATGCTATCATATCTGTAATGGAATAGTTTTAACTTCACAGTTAGAAAATCAAGTTAGCAGCTTATAGATTATCCCATTTGTCTTAAGTAGATCTTTTTTCCCCTAGAAGTTCCATTAGTGATCCCTATGATATTAGTAACATCACAAGTACCTAAATCCTTAAATTTGCAATAGAGTTATGACTTTGTAATGAGGCAGAATGAACCATATCAGAATGACTATTTCATGTCTATGTCTGTCCAAGGAGAAGTGATGAGAGACTGTTAAATGGTTGATATTTCAAAGGCACTTTCAGGAAGGTAGATCTAATTAGCCATAAATAGTTGAGAAAGCTCACCTATAGGTCAATTTTTATGGCATACTTTGAGAAATGTACATCTTAGTCACTTTTTCATTATTGGAACTCAATTCCTGGCACCAACAAATTAAAAGAGGAGAGGTTTGTTTTGTTTTTGTTTTGGGGGGGGGGGTTGGTACTGGGGATCAAACTCGGGACCTTGCGCTTGTGAGACAGGCAGCTGGACCACTGAGCTAAATCCCCGGTCCAGGAGAGGTTTGCTTTGGTTCACAGTTTTCAGAAGTTTTAGTCTATAGTTGGCAGGTTATAGGGTAGACAGGATATGGTGGAAGGAAAGCTGCTCACCTCACCATGTGGCATCTGGAAAACAGAGAGCCAAGGGAGCATTTAGGAAGAGAGATGTACCCTTCCAGGTCATGCCCCAGTGACCTGCTGTGGTGGATTAACTTACGGTCAACTTGGAATGCCCAGATAAACTGAATCAGTGTGGTTTGGGCATGGAAGACCCACCTGAGGATCGTTGCCAACTGCATAAAAAGAGAACTGGAGGGGAAGATCATTGGCTGTTGATTTTCTTGGGGAAGCTTGCTGCAGGTGGTTTTCCTGATGTGAACTTGGCTTTCTCTTATTGTAGGAGGAGCTCAGGTCCTCTCTGTGGCTGGGAATGGCTGCTTTTCTCTCAGGGGAGCTCTGATCTTTGCCATGAGCATCACTTCCAGGCTCCAGTATAGATCCCTCAGCCTGGTGGCACAAATCCTTCACCCTGCTGGCACAGGCTTTCTAGCCTCCACCACTGGCCTTTGGCCTTCTTGGTGAAGATCCTTGATATAGACAAGCATGAGACATTGCCGTGGGCTCTAGGCTCTAGGCAACTGGCTGGACTCATGGACATTGCCTTGAACTTTATGTCTTCAGCTGGACTTGTGCAGGGCATTGCTGTGCGATCCAGACCCTTGGCTGGATTCTTTGGGTCGCTAGCATGCAGCTAAGTCTCTTGCACTCCTCTGCATCTGACTTTTTGGGTGACTATTATAAAATAATCCTGTAAATTATGTGTCCTGTATTAAATCTATTCCCTTGCAAACCCTGACCATAACACCTGCCTTCTCTGACCAGACCCTATCTCCTAACAACAAGCAGTAACAGTGCTGCAGACTAGCTAGTGGGCCAAAATAAACTTTCTCTCCTTTGGGTTGTGAATGTTGGGTATTTTGTCTCAATAACACGGAAAATGACCAACTCAGATTTCGGTACCAGGAATGGAGTTGTTTCTGGGACTATACCTGACTATGTGGTTTAGAAGCCTTTAGAGTGGTTCAGGGAGGAGTTTGGAAAGGTTCAGAGATGTTAGCTGGAGAAGCAACCATAGAATGCTGTAAGCTGAACTTGATGTGTGATACTGGTTGGAGCTCAGAAGACCAGAATGCTGATAAAAAGGCAGAAGGTAAAGAACAGACTCAGGAAATTTCAGTTGGGAACAAGGACTCCATTGACAGTTGGACTCTGGGTCATATGTGTTACGCTATGGCAGAAAATTTATCAACATTTTGCTTATGTCCTGAGACTTTGAGTTAGACTGAGGTGAAGGGCAATAGGCTAATCTGGTGGGGAAAATTGCAAGGCAGCCCCGTATTGAGGCTGTGGCATAGGTACTGTTGGAGGCTTTTAGCCAGCTTTACATTGAGAATCTAGAGTAGACGGCACAACTGAATGGTTATAAAAGTTCTGAGTTTCACCAGAAAGGAAGCTTCTGTAAAGTTAGAGCCTGTAAAGTGTTGGCTGAGGATAACTTAGTGGCTGAAAAGATTAAAAAGAAGCCAAATGCTTTTAGTCAGGACAATAGGAAGGGTGCCTTTAGTGCATTCTGGGAAACAACAAGACCCCACTCTTCACACTGCAAAAGTGAAAAACTGCTTTAGAGAAGACAGCCAGCCTCAGGGCGCTCTGCTTGAGAAGGACCACCTCAGGAATTGGTTCCTTGAGATTCAATTCACAGTGCTTAGCCATCCAGGCTCTTGGAGGCCTCTGCAGCCACAATTCAAGAGTGCCTGGGTACTGTTTGAGCTGGCAGCAGACCATGAAA